GGAGTGGTGTCCTTTGGTGGGAAAGCCTTTATACACATACATGTAGATTCATGCGCAGTTGGTACAAAGCACACTGTACATATATATACAACGAATTCCCATTGCAATATGCACAGATCTGTGTACATGTGCATGTAGGTACATGTACATTGTATAATCCATATCCTTCCATGCACTCCTAAAGCCAGGTTAAAAAATTTTCCAACCAGCCTCTCTCCTTTTTCCCAGTGAGGATGGTGCATCTGAACAGAGCAGATAAGTGATAATTATTTATTTAATCCAAGCCAAGTACCGTACAGCTGAAACTCCGGTAATTGATATCTTGAGCTATGAAAATCTATATCACTTGAATCCAATCCATGTCTGTTCCTATGGTGTTGCACTCTGCAAGTATTTACAGAATGACATGCATTTTTTCTGCATTACTGACACCGGATGTAGAGATTCCTTGAATAGAATTCCTTCAATAATGTGCTACAGTCGATGTGTATCTGTAACTACATGTACTCCTTGTGGTATTTTCTGTCAAAAATATGAGGTTGTGCCATGCCGGTACATGCTTATGTAAAGTATGTAAACGGGGCAGTTTTGAACACCAATCAACCTGTTTTTGTCTTTTCTCGCGGGCGGATGGATGGTTGTACAGCGTCACCATATATGACTGAGGGCCCCACCCATGTTGACAATGCATGCAGACCTCGTTCAATTGATTTTTCATCATGGATGGAGTGGTGGATGTTTTTATTCTACACAGAACTGGTTTTTTGTGCTGTCGAGGGTGTGCGTATGCTGTACGTGAATCATTCACTGCGCCCGCCTTGTCGTTTTGGGATATGCAGAACCGGGGAAGCTGCAATCAGATTAGCCTAACCCTGCCTGAGGCAAAGCATGTTATCTCTGTCGAGTCAGATGATGTCTTGTGACATGTGTACATGTACAATTGATGCAAACACATTATGATGAATAATTATACACACGCACAGGAGTTACACGTAAAATTATTTGATTTCAGATTTAAACTCTGTCAACATTGCGTTGGCGGCATTGAAGGTATACCATCATGCTTTCTTGTGAAAAATAATTTGTTGTTTCTTGTATGATGGCACAGGGAGGCTTGTGTTGATCATTGTTCCGCATCATCAATTGCTTGCATATGAGCATGTGATTTCATTGTTTTGTCTTCTTTCTGTCTTTTTTTTACATTTCATTTCTTACTTTTGAAGCGTTTCTCATAAAAAACATGTATTTGGATGTAGATTGAAATATTAGACTGGAGTACGGGTACTCCCCCAGTGTGAGTGATGTCGCGTCAAGATCTCATCTCTGCCTTTGTTCTTGGGTTTGGAGCATTTTTTTTGCCTTTTCATGGGAGATTTTTTTTCATCTTCTTTTCACCAGATGGGCCTACCATTAGGGAAATAAACTGGTTGAGATAGTGGAGCTGGCTGGTTCTGGCAAAATTGATCTCTTTTGTAATCAACAGAGAAAAATATCAGAAAGTGATTTGACAGTGATATTCAGAAAATCTTTGAGAATGTGGGAAGAACAATCCTTGGATTTGGTACATGTAGATTGTAACTTTGATATATTTTGCTTGCTAAACAACTGTAATATTACATCATTGTGGTACATGTCCCTCCCCCCCAAGAAACAGGTCTTCCTTCCATCCTTCTTTTTTATGGCATCTACAAAAAAAGCAGTTCGATTATAAGTTCTGGTTTTTTTTCAGTATAGCACGTAGCTGATTTAGTATGCACCTGAGCACGTGACTGGACAAAAATAATGGCAAGACAGGTCAGCCCGTGATTCAAATGAAATGAACAATGCTTAAAAGGGTACTAATTGCATGCATAAATAAGTCCTTTGGACCCTGTTACAGAACATTTAAACTAAAATAGACACGTTTTTTCCGTTCTTTGTTCCCAATTTCATATTTTCCCAAAAGTTTCCCGGACAAATCGTAGGGTCACCCTGGCCTATAGGGTTGGTACTTGGTAGGGCAACAGTGATCCCAGAGTACCTTTTTTTGCCCTACCTAAACACCATAAAATTAATATCCATTTGGAAGCAATTTTTAGAGAGATTTTAAAATCAAATTTAAAATGTTATGAACATGTTTATTTTTTTTCTCCTTTCTTTCTTGCCTCTTCTCCTACACCAGCATCAGGATCTTCACGTGGTAAGTGGAAATATTAATTTTGGAAGTAAAATTTTTGTATGTTTCAGGTTCTGTGTTTTCTTCTGTTCATTTTCTTTTCCTGTTCAAATAACAAGTAGGCAACCAGCCTGAGACAGGAGATTCCCTGTTTTAATTTTTTGTTGCTGGAGTTGAGATTTAAAATTTTTGTTTTTCCCTTACTGAAGTTGTGCATGCATGTACCTGCCTCATTGTTCACAAGTGACTGGCCTATTTTTTTTTTTTCAAAATCTAGTAACGCTATTGCTGAAAGTTATTACAATAAATGGATAATTCTATCTGGATGCATTGACGTTTGTCGTTACAATCGCCAATTTAACATAATTTGAATGTAGTCACATGTACACGCATATGAAAATCTTGAAAGTTGTCTACAGGGACTTAATCCCCTGTAATATTCTTCAGTGGTTGTATGGACGTGTACAGTTTAAATGCCCATGGTGCTATTGTACAGGTGTTCTTGGTATGAATGTTTACCCCTTGCCTAAATGCATGATGTAAATCTTTCCTACAGCCAGTAGTCTAACCCAATACTTGAATTTATGTTGTGGTTTAATTCAACTAACAGCCATACACAGAAGACAAGCCCCAACTGATTTAAATGGTAAGCTAATAATCTTTCCCTGTTGTTTTATTTTCACAATTTTAACCTTACTAATTCCTTTAACTTCCATTGCAAGGAAGGTTTGGGATTGGGTAATCATTTTTTAAACGACCAGAGCAGTCTGCTGTCACTGTTTCATATTCTGTAACTATAGAGACCTTGCGCGGTAGCCATCTTGCAGAGCGGTTCTGGTTTTTTTTTTCCCAGGGGGAACCTCATTTGTGCATACCCTGCGAAACGAAAGCATTGGCCTGCAAGGTGGCAGCCATGCAAAACCCCCCCCTATTCCTCAGATTTTCAAATCCAGATGCTGTTAACCGTGCTCGCCATTTGTCCAAATGTACATGTATTATTTGGATGGTCTTAAAAAGTTGATTTCATATGAAAATGACTTCCTCGTATTAATGACTGCTGAAAAAAAAAATCAGCCTGTTTGAAATTGTCAGAATGTGGGCTGTACTCAACTCAGCACTTAGGCCTAGTTCCGTTAAAAAAACAACGGAGGTCCGTGTAGGTATCAGGATATGGGTGGGTATTTAGACATCCGATCCGACAGTGTTTGTTCACAAGTGAGTGCCGGTATTGTCGACGGAAACTGAGACACTGATGAAGAATGAAACAGAAACCTCTCCATTGTTCAACACCTGTCTTCCACCTGGCTGGATTTTGAATGTGCTGTCACATGTGCTGGATGGAAAGAAGCTCATCAGAATTACAACAAAAAGCTTTTGAGTTTGAAATCTCATGGGATAACTGACGTAGATC